TCCTCCACTGGCTCTCAGTATGCCCCTCCTCCACTGTTCTGCTCTCAGTATGCCCCTCCTCCGCTATTCTGCTCTCGGTATGCCCCTCCTCCGCAGTTGTGCTCTCAGTATGCCCCTCCTCCATGGCTCTCGCTATGCCCCTCCTCCATGGCTCTCGGTATGTCCCTCCCACATGGCTCTCAGTATGCCCCTCCTCTGCTGTTCTGCTCTCAGTATGCTCCTCCTCCATGGCTCTCAGTATGCCCCTCCTCCATGTTCTGCTCTCAGTATGCCCCTCCTCCACTGTTCTGCTCTCAGTATGCCCCTCCTCCATGGCTCTCAGTATGCCCCTCCTCCACTGTTCTGCTCTCAGTATGCCCCTCCTCCACTGTTCTGCTCTCAGTATGCCCCTCCTCTGCATTCTGCTCTCGTATGCCCCTCCTCCATGCTCTCAGTATGTCCCCTCCTCCATGGCTCTCGGTATGTCCCTCCCCCATGGCTCTCGGTATGCCCCTCCTCCACTGTTCTCTCGGTATGCCCCTCCTCTGCTGTTCTGCTGTCAGTATGCCCCTCCTCTGCTGTTCTGCTCTCAGTATGCCCCTCCTCCATGGCTCTCGGTATACCCCTCCTCCATGGCTCTCGGTATGCCCCTCCTCCATGGCTCTCAGTATGCCCCTCCTCCGCTATTCTGCTCTCAGTATGTCCCTCCTCCATGGCTCTCAGTATGTCCCTCCTCCATGGCTCTCAGTATGCCCCTCCTCCATGGCTCTCAGTATGCCCCTCCTCCACTGTTCTGCTCTCAGTATGCCCCTCCTCCATGGCTCTCAGTATGCCCCTCCTCTGCTATTCTGCTCTCGGTATGCCCCTCCTCCGCAGTTCTGCTCTCAATATGCCCCTCCTCCATGGCTCTCAGTATGCCCCTCCTCCATTGCTCTCTGTATGCCCCTCCTTCATTGCTCTCAGTATGCCCCTCCTCCATGGTTCTCAGTATGCCCCTCCTCCATGGCTCTCGCTATGCCCCTCCTCCATGGCTCTCGGTATGTCCCTCCCCCATGGCTCTCAGTATGCCCCTCCTCCACTGTTCTGCTCTCGGTATGCCCCTCCTCTGCTGTTCTGCTCTCAGTATGCTCCTCCTCCATGGCTCTCGGTATGCCCCTCCTCCATGGCTCTCAGTATGCCCCTCCTCCACTGTTCTGCTCTCAGTATGCCCCTCCTCCGCTATTCTGCTCTCGGTATGCCCCTCCTCTGCAGTTCTGCTCTCAGTATGCCCCTCCTCCATGGCTCTCGGTATGTCCCTCCCCCATGGCTCTCGGTATGCCCCTCCCCCATGGCTCTCGGTATGCCCCTCCTCCACTGTTCTGCTGTCGGTATGCCCCTCCTCTGCTGTTCTGCTCTCAGTATGCCCCTCCTCCATGGCTCTCGGTATGCCCCTCCTCCATGGCTCTCGGTATGCCCCTCCTCCATGGCTCTCAGTATGCCCCTCCTCCACTGTTCTGCTCTCAGTATGCACCTCCTCCATGGCTCTCAGTATGCCCCTCCTCCACTGTTCTGCTCTCAGTATGCCCCTCTCCGCTATTCTGCTCTTGGTATGCCCCTCCTCCGCAGTTCTGCTCTCAATATGCCCCTCCTCCATGGCTCTCGGTATGCCCCTCCTCCATGGCTCTCGGTCGGTATGTCCCTCCCCCATGGCTCTCAGTATGCCCCTCCTCCATGGCTCTCAGTATGCCCCTCCCCCATGGCTCTCGGTATGTCCCTCCCCCATGGCTCTCAGTATGCCCCTCCTCCATGGCTCTCGGTATGTCCCTCCCCCATGGCTCTCAGTATGCCCCTCCTCCATGGCTCTCGGTATGTCCCTCCCCCATGGCTCTCGGTATGCCCCTCCTCCATGGCTATTCTGCTCTCGGTATGCCCCTCCTCCATGGCTCTCGGTATGCCCCTCCTCTGCAGTTCTGCTCTCAGTATGCCCCTCCTCCATGGCTCTCGGTATGTCCCTCCCCCATGGCTCTCAGTTTGCCCCTCCTCCCCTTCATGCTGCCGGTGTTGGATGGGTGAGGTCCGGTTCTGGCACATGGGTGGTACCAGGTGAGGAAATGACAGACACACACAGGACGGTTCACATCCCCCTTATTTCTCATTTACAAACAATCATCTTCATGTAACAATCAGTTTTGTAGAGAATTGCGCGGGATGGCGGCAATCCTCGACACCCTGATATAAATACAACAAGTAGAAAATATATACATTGCATATAAATACAACTTCCTGACTGACGACTTATTTACAGAGCTATGTACAGGTCAGTCCATCCCAATGGGGCCCCTGAGGGACACAATCAATCTACAGAGATAGTAAGGATGAGGATGACGTATAAAGTGCCGTCTCCTATAGCAACTAGAAGTGGGAGCATTACAGATGAGCGGCAGTTATCCTTTTCATCACCCCTCCGCCTTACTGCATCTCACAGGCTGGGAGCTGGTCAATGATGAGCCGTTGGGTAGAAGATCCATCAGTTGTCTCCTCCAGCCCTCTTTCACAATCTGTTCTCCATGAACATCAGTTCCTTCCCTGAGCAGCACTCATCTGCCCCATCCTCACCCTCCTTGGGGCAGTTACAATATCCGGTGCTTGGGGGGAGGGACGCTGCCTGGAGAGGCTTCTTATACATTACACAGAGCAAATATCAATAATACGATTCTCCAAGGAAAGGGTTCAACTTACTTACATCGGGGGCCGTTCAGTGACCTACAAACCTCAGCTTATTAACTTGTACAAGAGAAGGCTGTGTGTGGTCTGAGCCCTTCTCTGAGATCATCCAATGGGAACACAGACAGGCTGATAGGAGGGGTGACACCATGTCCAAGAATCTGTGGCAGCACCATTTATACCAACCATGACCAAGAAGGGCTGAGATGGCCTTCACATTACCCATACACGTGAAAGTGTAAATCTAGACTCCATGTGAAAGGGTTAAATCCTCTGTCAGCTTCATATTACGTCCGTGTCCCCATCGAGGAGAAAGAACTCACTACCTGGGGGAAGATAACATTTCTCAGTTGCCACCAGAACAGCAGTAGAGGGTGACATTGTTCTGGTGACAACTGTCAGAGGTGGGCTGTTCAACTATTTTGGGGAGATTTACATTTTGATGGGGACACAAATAGCAATAAATACTTGATAGAGGTTCTAACCCTTCCTACACTCTTCAATACAAAATGAGGTTTTGGCCGGAACTACCTTTAATGTGCTGAGGGACCCCTGTGACACTTCCCTAGGGAGCTTTTTATTGTGTGGAAGTGGCTCCCCTCAAACACTGCCAGGATCAGGACCAAAAATGTATTCTACAGAGGAGGTCCATGTCATATTGTACAGAGGTCCATGTCATGTTGTATGGAAGAGGTCCATGTCATGTTGTAAGGAAGGGGTCCATGTCATATTGTACAGAGGTCCATGTCATATTGTAAGGAAGAGGTCCATGTCATATTGTAAGGAAGAGCTCCATGTCATATTGTACAGAGGAGGTCCATGTCATATTGGACAGAGGAGGTCCATGTCATATTGTACAGAGGTCCATGTCATGTTGTATGGAAGAGGTCCATGTCATGTTGTAAGGAAGGGGTCCATGTCATATTGGACAGAGGAGGTCCATGTCATATTGGACAGAAGAGGTCCATGTCATATTGGACAGAAGTTCATGTCATGTTGTATGGAAGAGGTCCATGTCATACTGGACAGAATAGGTCCATGTCATGTTGTATGGAAGAAGTCCATGTCATATTGGACAGAAGAGGTCCATGTCATATTGGACAGAAGTCCATGTCATGTTGTATGGAAGAGGTCCATGTCATATTGTAAGGAAGAGCTCCATGTCATATTGGACAGAAGAGGTCCATGTCATATTGTACAGAGGTCCATGTCATGTTGTATGGAAGAAGTCCATGTCATATTGGACAGAAGAGGGTTAGGGTCCATGTCATGTTGTATGGAAGAGGTCCATGTCATGTTGTATGGAAGAGGTCTATGTCATGTTGTATGGAAGAGAGGTCCATGTCATGTTGTATGGAAGAGGTCTATGTCATGTTGTATGGAAGAGGTCTATGTCATGTTGTATGGAAGAGGTCCATGTTATATTGTACAGAAGAGGTCCATGTCATATTGTACAGAAGAGGTCCATGTCATATTGTACAGGGGAGGTCCATGTCATATTGTACATAAGAGGTCTATGTTTTATTGTACAGAGGAGGTCCATTGCATATTGTACAGAGGTGGTCCATGGCGTATTTGAACAGAGGAGGTCCATGGCATACTGTACAGCGGAGATCCCTGTTATATTGTACAGAGGAGGTCCATGTCATATTGGACAGAGGAGGCCCATGTCATATTGTACAGAGGTCCATGTCATGTTGTATGGAAGAGGTCCATGTCATGTTGTAAGGAAGGGGTCCATGTCATATTGGACAGAGGAGGTCCATGTCATATTGGACAGAAGAGGTCCATGTCATATTGGACAGAAGAGGTCCATGTCATGTTGTATGGAAGAAGTCCATGTCATATTGGACAGAAGAGGTCCATGTCATGTTGGACAGAAGTCCATGTCATGTTGTATGGAAGAGGTCCATGTCATATTGTAAGGAAGAGCTCCATGTAATATTGGACAGAAGAGGTCCATGTCATATTGTACAGAGGTCCATGTCATGTTGTATGGAAGAAGTCCATGTCATATTGGACAGAAGAGGGTTAGGGTCCATGTCATGTTGTATGGAAGAGGTCCATGTCATGTTGTATGGAAGAGGTCTATGTCATGTTGTATGGAAGAGGTCCATGTTATATTGTACAGAAGAGGTCCATGTTATATTGTACAGAAGAGGTCCATGTTATATTGTACAGAAGAGGTCCATGTCATATTCTACAGAAGAGGTCCATGTTATATTGTACAGAAGAGGTCCATGTCATATTGGACAGAAGAGGTCCATGTTATATTGGACAGAAGAGGTCCATGTCATATTGGACAGAAGAGGTCCATGTCATATTGTACAGGGGAGGTCCATGTCATATTGTACATAAGAGGTCTATGTTTTATTGTACAGAGGAGGTCCATTGCATTGTACAGAGGTGGTCCATGGCGTATTTGAACAGAGGAGGTCCATGGCATACTGTACAGCGGAGATCCCTGTTATATGTACAGAGGAGGTCCATGGCGTATTGTACAAAGGAGGTTCATGGCATACTGTACAGAGGAGGTCCATGTGATATTGTACAGAGGGGTCCATGGCATATTGTACAGAGGAGGTCCATGGCATTTTGTACAGAGGAGATCCGTGTCATATTGTACAGAAGAGGTCCATGTCATGGTGTGGCTCCCATTTGGCAGTATGTTCAGCCTTTGCCTAGATTGGACAGGCACAGGGTGAGATATCCTGTAGACAGGTATTAAAGGGTCCACAGACTGATGGCTGAGAGTGAAGAGGCTGCATTCCCATTATCTGGGTTCACACCCCATTCTGTGTTGTACAACATCTGCAAAAACCCAGACATGTCAGAGAGTCCCAGTGCGGTCATGTCCATTATAAAGGCATATAATCTCCATCGCACCAGCAATGTAACCTGAGTAATACTGACTGCAGTCTGGGGCTTCACCTGGGATAACAATAATGGCCACCGTAGCTTATGTGTGACCAGCAAAAATACAGTCAGATGGCGGCACTATGAGGACCGTCAGTGTGGGAGAAGTAAGGGTGTCTTCAGTTTATTGGTATGGCTCTTTGTCCTTCTCCCATACAGTCTGGGTGGTCCAGTTATATCAGGTTCCCCATAACATTGATGTCCAGTCTGGGTGGTCCAGTTATACCAGGTGCCCCATACCATTGATGTTCAGTCTGGGTGGTCCAGTTATACCAGGTGCCCCATACCATTGATGTTCAGTCTGGGTGGTCCAGTTATACCAGGTGCCCCATACCATTGATGTTCAGTCTGGGTGGTCCAGTTATACCAGGTGCCCCATACCATTGATGTTCAGTCTGGGTGGTCCAGTTATACCAGGTGCCCCATACCATTGATGTTCAGTCTGGGTGGTATACCAGGTGCCCCATACCATTGATGTTCAGTCTGGGTGGTATACCAGGTGCCCCATACCATTGATGTTCAGTCTGGGTGGTCCAGTTATACCAGGTGCCCCATACCATTGATGTTCAGTCTGGGTGGTCCAGTTATACCAGGTGCCCTCTACCATTGATGTTCAGTCTGGGTGGTCCAGTTATACCAGGTGCCCCATACCATTGATGTTCAGTCTGGGTGGTCCAGTTATACCAGGTGCCCCATACCATTGATGTTCAGTCTGGGTGGTATACCAGGTGCCCCATACCATTGATGTTCAGTCTGGGTGGTCCAGTGGTCCCCAGTTGATGTTCAGTCTGGGTGGTATACCAGGTGCCCCATACCATTGATGTTCAGTCTGGGTGGTATACCAGGTGCCCCATACCATTGATGTTCAGTCTGGGTGGTCCAGTTATACCAGGTGCCCTCTACCATTGATGTAGATCCCATTGGTACTTGGCTTGGCACGTAAGGTCCCATTCTCCTGATAGAAATGCATCATTCCCTGTTTGATGAATGGCTGGTTTTCTATGACTTCAGTGCTGCCTCGTTCACTGTGTTCCAGCTCTTTATCATCCATCGCCTCCTCCTGCTCGCCCTCGCTCTCCTCCTTCACCTCCTCATCCGGTACTGTGGAAAGGAGCTCCGTCTGGGTCTCTGTCTCCCGCACAGTCGTCAGGGTGGAATAACTACGCCGATCCATCTCTTCCCCCTGCCAAGGGACAAAAATGGGGCTCAGTATGCAGAAGAGGAAAAGAACTATTAACAGATATTGTCACCCCTATAGCCCATACAGTCACCCCTTATAGTCCATACAGTCACCCCCCCCATACAGTCACCCCCTTATAGTCCATACAGTCACCCCTTATAGTCCATACAGTCACCCCTTATAGTCCATACAGTCACCCCCCCTATAGTCCATACAGTCACCCCTTATAGTCCATACAGTCACCCCCTTATAGTCCATACAGTCACCCCCTATAGTCCATACAGTCACCCCTACAGTCCATACAGTCACCCCCTACACCCATACAAGCACCCCATATTGTCCATACAGTCACCCCAGTCACCCCTATAGTCCATACAGTCACCCCATTCATAGTCCATACAGTCACCCCTTATAGTCCATACAGTCACCCCCTTATAGTCCATACAGTCACCCCCTATATAGTCCATACAGTCACCCCTTATAGTCCATACAGTCACCCCCTATAGTCCATACAGTCACCCCTTATAGTCCATACAGTCACCCCCTATAGTCCATACAGTCACCCCTACAGTCCATACAGTCACCAGTCCATACAAGCACCCCCATATTGTCCATACAGTCACCCCTATAGTGCATACAGTTACCCCTTATAGACCATACAGTCACCCCCTATAGTCCATACAGTCACCCCTACAGTCCATACAGTACAGTCACCACCCCACCGCTAACGATTGTTACCACGGTTTTTATGCTTATGATTACTTCACACATGTGAGTGTTTCACTACTTAGACTTGAATTAAAAGACTTATTGCACTTAGAGGCGCTTCTCTACTCACCCCTTTAGGCCATACTCACCCCTTATAGGCCATACAGTCACCATAGTCCATACAGTCACCCCTTATAGTGCATACAGTTACCCCTATAGTCCATACAGTCACCCCTACAGTCCATACAGTCACCCCTATAGTGAATACAGTTACAGTTACCCCTTATAGTCCATACAGTCACCCCTTATAGTCCATACAGTCACCCCCTATAGTCCATACAGTCACCCCCTTATAGTCCATACAGTCAGCCCCTATAGTCCATACAGTACACCCCCTATAGTCCATACAGTCCCCTATAGTCCATACAGTCACCCCCTATAGTCCATACAGTCACCCCTATAGTCCATACAGTCACCCCCTTATAGTCCATACAGTCACCCCCTATAGTGCATACAGTCCACCCCCTATAGTCCACCCCCTATACATACAGTCACCCCTTATAGTCCATAGTCAGTCACCCCTATAGTCCATACAGTCACCCCCTATAGTCCATACAGTCACCCCTATAGTCCATACAGTCATAGTCACATCACACCCCTATAGTCCATACAGTCACCCCTATAGTCCATACAGTCCCCTATACAGTCACCCCCTATAGTCCATACAGTCACCCCCTATAGCCCATACAGTCACCCCCTATAGTCCATACAGTCACCCCTATAGTCCATACAGTCACCCCCCCAGTACCCCTAGTCCATACAGTCACCCCCTATAGTCCATATACAGTCGCCCCCTATAGTCCATACAGTCGCCCCCTATAATCCATACAGTCGCCCCCTATAGTCCATACAGTCGCCCCCTATAGTCCATACAGTCGCCCCCTATAATCCATACAGTCGCCCCCCATACAGTCAAGTCCATACAGTCGCCCCCTATAGTCCATACAGTCGCCCCCTATAATCCAGTCCATACAGTCGCCCCCTATAGTCCATACAGTCGCCCCCTATAGTCCATACAGTCGCCCCCTATAATCCATACAGTCGCCCCCCCTATAATCCATACAGTCCCCCCTATCCATACAGTCCCCACCCCCTATAATCCATACAGTCACCCCTATAATCCCCCTATACAGTCACCCCCTATAGCCCATACAGTCGCCACCCTATAATCCATACAGTCGCCCCCCCCTATAATCCATAATGTCGCCCCCCCCTATAATCCATACAGTCACCCCCTATAGCCCATACATAGTCGCCCCCTATAGCCCATACAGTCACCCCTATAGTCCATACAGTCACCCCCCCTATAGCCCATACAGTCGCCCCCTATAGCCCATACAGTCGCCCCCTATAAACCATACAGTCGCCCCCTATAAACCATACAGTCGCCCCCTATAATCCATACAGTCGCCCCCGTATAGCCCATAAACCTGCCCCTATAGTCGTTGGCCCTATGGTCTGTACAGTATAATTAGTATTGGTATATATCATCACTGGGAAGGTTGGGCTGTCTTGGTCCAAGATGAGAATAAATCTGAGAATTGATAACTGCTGGAAGACAATTCTATCCCCATAATATACGCGGCACAAATCTGCTCAACACGATGTCCAAGAAATTCGATCTTTGTAAAGAAAATCTGTCAGTTAGCTTTGTGTCCACCAGGGGGAGACATGGTACATATAATGGGCCTCGATCAGAGGGCCCCTGGCAGGGTGTGAATGTGGGGGGAGGGTCCTCACCATTATTGAGCTGATACTGGGGTCCCTCAGGCTGTCGGGGTGATGTGATGCCTCATATGGAGACTTTCTTCCAGCTGAAACAGAAGAGAAAGACAGCAGTTATCTGGTTGGGGTTCCATCAGAACTGTTGCTTGGTGTTCATCATTAGTGCCGGCAGTCGGTAGGGAATAGAGAAGTCCTGAGTACAAAAACATAGAAGTCCCACCAGGAATCATTCCACAGCAAGTCCCACCAGGAACCATTTCACACCAAGTCCCACCAGGAGCCATTCCACACCAAGTCCCACCAGGAACCATTCCAAACCAAGCCCCACCAGGAACCATTCCACACCAAGTCCCACCAGGAACCATTCAGGAAAGGAATATATAGTGTGAGGTGGTGCCCTTCCCTCACCTGCATCCGGGTGTCTGTGCTGGCCGAGGTGGAAAGTCTTCTCCTCGATGTCTGTCGGGATAACGTAGAAAGTTCCTCTCTGAAAAACATGAAACAATTTACTGACTATGGTATGCGGATAGCAGGAGACATCAGAGCTTGTCCTGTATGGTGGGATAACGTGCCTAACTGGACCCATACATTGTACAACACCTGGCATTACAGAGGGCCCTAGACCTCCAGATGCCCTGTCCCAGATCCGCTATCTCCATTACAGAGGGCTCCAGACCACTATCTTGTTTGTCCCAATTACAGAGGGCCCCAGACCCCAGATCTCCTGTCTCTAATACCGAGGGATCCAAACCCCCACATTCCTTGTCTCTAATACCAAGGGCCCCAGATCCACTGTCCCATTTACAGAAGGCCCTGGACCCTCAGATCCCCTGCCTACATTACAGAGAGCCCCAAATCCTCTGTCCCAATTACAGAGGGCCCCAGATCCTCTGTCCCTATTACAGAGTCTTTAGACCCCCAGGTCTCCTGTATTTATTACAGAAGACCCCAGACCCCCTGCTTGTATTACAGAGGGCCCCAGACCCCCAGATCTCCTGCCTCTATTACAGAGGGCCCCAGACCCCCAGATTCCCTGCCTCTATTACAGAGGGCCCTAGACCCCCAGATCCCCTACCTTTACTTCAAAGGGCCACAGTTTTCTCCTGTCTCTATTACAGAGAGCCCCAGATCCTTTGCCTCTATTACAAAGGACCCCAAACCACCAGATCCTCTGCTCCTATTACAGAGGGTCCCAGACCCTCATATCCCACACCTCCA